TAATTAATAAGCACTCACTAAAACTTAATGAAGTGTAAACAGTTTAATGACTTTGTTTCAAAGTGTAATTGCAAATTGGGTGAAAAAAATGAGGAAACAATTTCAATAAAGTTATAAAATTATTTGCATCAATTAGAATATTATAAATTCGATCAATACGAAAAATCCACTTTACCGCTTACCAGTAAATAATATACAAAAAACGCAAACGACTCCGCTCATTTAGAATAACGATGAAAACGTAAGGTTCAGATGTAAATTGCAGATGTAAATTGATGGTTGAAAGTACAAATATGCAATTCTCTGGCAATGTAACGCTAATTTAATGATACTCTGAAATTTCAAGCTGGTTCCAACTTTTTTCAATAATTCCGCTTTTTAATCAAAAGCTTCATATTTTATTATTTTTGTTATCTAGACTATTAATAGGCATTTAGCAGCTAATTTTAAATATCTTACCTTCTGAATGCAGAGAGCCAGCTTTATTTTTACAAATCAGTCGTTCAAGTTTAGGAGACTTCCTTATTTGGTCCTTTGACATTCAGTCGGTTTCGTTGGCAGTACGTTAAACGTTAAAGCGGTTTCCTTACCTATAACTATCACATAATTAATACAAGTTATGAATATGAGGACTACTGGAACTTAAAAGTGATATTATTTTCTGAAGAGCTGAAAACAGCTGAGAAAATTTAAAAAACGAATTATGAAATCATGAAAAATTATTATGAAGGAATTCTAGAATCTGATTTTAACATATTAGATGCGGTTACATAAGCAGTTTCCTTCATGGCGTGAGACCTGTAAATGAGCTATGTTTTGTTTGCATGCTAGGCTTTCATAATTTGGCAAAATCTAAAGTGATATACGAGGAAAAAAAAGTTTTGAAATTTCGATACGTTTGAAATATCTTTTGAATGTTAGATCTAAAACTACAGAATCTTTATAGATTCGAAAGCCGTAAAAGAGTAACAGCAATTACAGTAGTGTGGTCCTGGGTTCGAATTATGGTGAACGGGCTCGCTAGCTGGTCCTTTTCATGGTTTTCCCCCATATGTGACGTGTATATGAGCCAGTTTTCCTTAGAAAGTCTCCATGAAGGCATCCCTCCTTTTAGGCAGATAGCCCTATTGCGCTTTGTCATAACCTAATGAACTAAATAAATCGAACCAGTAGCAGCAAATGAGGATTGATGCAGCTGCAATTTCCAACAAGAATAAAGCTAAAATTTTCCATACCTACAGAAAACATTTTCTGTATAGAAAGTAAGTGGAGATAGTTAACATATTTGAATGTTCTGAGCTAAAATATGTTAGCGCCTCAAGATTCATTAGATTGAGAGATCATTAAACAGTGTATATAAGAATGTTGAGCTTTTTGGATTAAGAAATCGTTAAACAGAGCATATAATTAACTAAAAATCATCTATTATAAAAAATGTATTGTAGGATGGCATCGTCGATAATAATGGGAAGACGCGGCAAGCTGCGAAACAAATCTTCTTTCTGTCCGATGAGGGAATACAGACGATTCCGCTGTATTAATATACGACGACGCGATTGAAAGGTGTTTGCGTGTAAAAGATGGTTACTTCTCTTCATCTGTAAATAATCTAATCTTTTTCCTTCCATGTATGTAACCATTTTGTAGTTCGTCACAACTTTTCATGTTTCCATTAAATATTCACGTTATTTGTAAATCGCACTAGTTTACTAGCACATAGACAGCCACCTCGGAAGTGTAAATTCACAGACATCATATTCCTAGACAGTAAGTACTGATCCTACAGTATTTTTAAAATATTTCGGTACTGAACATTTTTATTTAATTCAATAATATTTATAACGGAATTGTTATGAGACTCTACCTGAATTTTGTTCATTCAGTCGGTATTCCATTAAAAGAAACGTAAAGAGAAATATAATTGAGTAATACGGGCAATCCACCCAATTAATTCACTGTAAAACAGGCAATCCACCTTAATTAATTCACTATAAAACAGGCAATCCACCTTAATGCAAAGTCATGGTGCATTTTACTTTATTTATTCTAAAACATAAAAACGATACAATGTTGCCAAACCGTAAAAATTTAACCTTTAAAGAAATTACATTTATACAATCGTTGAGTTGCTGGCGACATCTCCTCCCACCTTTTGATTTATAGTGGGCGGAACATAAATCAAATTACTATATACTTAATAACGAGAATAAACAATACTTAGTACAATCATAAAAGGAAAAAAACTAATTAAAACGCGAAGGTTTTACAATAGTTCTACCACATCTAGTTTTAATTATCTTATCAGGAGGTTTAAAGTTAATTTCTTTACTAGCAGGAACGTTAAATTGGTTTTGTTTAGGTAAAAACAAGTTCTTATCGTCCATCACTTCCAAAGATACAGTCGTTGCACAGGACGGATCAATTCACCTGCCGCTGTTTTCACCTTTGCCACTCTAACATAATTATCTTGACTCTGGAATAGCTCAATAAACTCGATCCAATGGCCAGTCCAATCTTTTTTTTGTTGTCACTTCCCACATCTCCTAAATATATTTGTCTTCGAGTAGCTTTATTATGTCTGGACTGAATTAGGAGACTCAAATATCCATCTCTAAACCTTTTTCTGAGATCTTGTCGTAATTTTTGCTGATATCTATATCTCTTAGTGATATTGACTTCATCTACATGGTCTAAGCCTGGAACTCCCACTCTTCTTATATCCTGAATGAACATAGAGGGTGTTAAAGGCATTAAATCTTCAGAATCTTCAGACAAATAATTTAACGGCCTTGCGTTGATTACAGCTTCCGTATCACAGAGAATGGTACACAGCTCCTCATATCTCAAGCAGGCTCTTCCTAATATTCTTCTCAAAATTTTCTTAACCATCTGAATAATACGCTCCCACCAACCCCCCACCACCACGCAGCTGTGGGGGGGGGGATTGAACTTCCATGTATTCTTCAAAATAATACATTCCTGCATAATTTTGCTCCAATCGAGTGAAAGAAAGAAGTTGTTAGTCCCAACAAAGTTCGTACCATTGTCACTATACATAGGTTTTGGTCGTCCACGTCTGCCTATGAGCCTTCTGAAGCCCAACAAAAAAAATCTTCGGTGGAAAGTCCTTGTATCAGTTCAAGATGTATGGTCCTATAAACAGCACAGGTGAATAAACGTATCCACCTTTTCTTTCCATCCTTTAGATAAAGAGGTCCAGATAAGTCTACTTCAGTTACTTCAAAAACCAGAGCGTCTCGGAACCTATCTTCAGGCAGTGGGGCTGGAACTGTTCCGATTTTTTTTTTTTTTTTTTTTTTTTTGCATTATATCTTTTGCATCGAATGCATTTTGCGATTACCCTTTGAACTGTTTTGCGTCCTCTTAAAATCCAAAACCGTTGACGAATATCCGTCAAAACAATTTGAACTCCAGCGTGTGAAAGTACTGTATGTCTTTTGAAAATTAATTTTTCTACAATTTGATGATCAGAAGGTAAAATTATGGGACACACGAAATAATCTTTATCATCTCTTTGAAGGAGTTTTGTCTTCACTCTCATTAAGCCTTCTTTATCAGTGAAAATGCAAAGAGTTTTCAACTTTGATTTTGTAGATTTGTTTTAGAAAGATTCTTTCTGAACAATTAAGAAAAGCCTTTTCTCAGCTGTTTCTATTTCCTGAACAGATAATTCTTCCTTCAGTTTGTGATTGGAATTTCTAGAATTATGAAAGAATCGCAGAATCCAAGCTATCAGCCGAATGATTCTCGAATATTTAGAAAAACGATGCAAGTACCATTTTTCGTTAGCAGCAACTGAGGTAGCTAAGGCAGTTATTCCCTTTTTTCTTTCTTTAGAAACGTCTTCCATATTTAATTTAATTTCAGAGACGGGCCAAGTTTTCTTCAGGCTGTTTAAGCCACGGTGGACCCTCCCACCATCTGGATCTGAGCAAAACAGAACTCCAGCGGAACATCCTCTGGATGGGAGATCAGCCGGATTGTCGCTTCCTGGAATATGCTTCCATTGTTCCTTTGATGTTAAATTTCTTATCTCCTTCACTCGATTATGTTACAAATGTTCCCCAGTTTATCTTCATGCTTGATCCAGAACATAACGGGTAGAGGAGTCAGTCCAACAGGTACTTGATATTCCCTTTAAATCCATCGCTTCTTTCACTGTTGCAGTGAGACGAGCTCCGATCAAACATGCTAACAATTCTAATCGAGGCATCGTTATCTTTGTTAAAGGAGCCACTCTACTTTTAGCTTCAATCAAATGAACTTTTACCCCTTTCTCACATTCGCTTCGTAGAAATACGATTGCGCTATAGGCGGACTTGCTCGCCTCACAAAAAGTATGAAAACTCAATTTTTTTCTTCCGGGACATTGCTTTGGACATATCTTGGAATTTGGATCTCTGTTAACAGATGTAAATCTTCAAGCCATTTATTGAACTCCAGGCGAATATATTCTGGACAGGTTTCATCCCAACCAATCTTCAGGTTCCAGCTATTCTATATTAACAAGTTTCAAACGAATCGCTACTGGACACAGAATTCCTATAGGATCGAAGATGCTGTGAACTGTCGAAAGAATATATCTTCTAGTAATGGGTTTTTGTTTGATATCAATTTTTTCAAGATCACAAAACAGAACATCCTTAGTTTTATCCCATAATAATCCAAGAACAGGGAAAAGTTTTTTTTTTTTTTTTTTTTTTTTTTTTTTTTTTTTTTTTTTTTTTTTTTGAAATTCTTCACCTGTTAGACTGGAATGTTCCCAACCTCTTAAATCGAAACAATCCGTAGCCAGAATCTGTTTTGCTTCAAAATGAATTTTTCAAGTTCATCTTGACTAGTTACCGAAGTTATGAAGTTATCCACATAGAATGCATTCCTCAGCTTTTCTACGGTTTCAGGAAAATGGCTTTCATTTTGTCCCTAATGTTAATCCTAAACAGCAGCTAGCAAGAAAGGGCTCCTCGTAAGTCCAAACACTACTCGTCGGTGACGATAAATTTTTTGTTTTCTTTCCTTATAATCTTTCCACCATATGAATCTAAGAAAATCTTGGTCTTTTTTGGCCACAGATATCTGAAATAGGCCTTTTTTATATCCGAAACTACACCAATTTCTTTCTGACGAAATCTCATAAGTAATGGAGGAATTTTTTCGATAAGATTTGGTCCTGTTTCTAGACAGTCGTTGAGCGAAAGTGAGTTCTTACTTCTACACGAAGCATCAAATATAGGGCCTACCTTCGTAGTAGAATTTCCTTTAAAAATACCTCTATGAGGCAAATAATGACAAGGATTTCCCAATTCACTATCTGGTACTTCTTCCATGATAGTTTCCTGTAACCATTTCTTAAATACAGCCTCATAGTCATCGTATTTTCCTTCTTTATGAAGTTTCTGAGTAGTAGTTATGCATCTTTTTTCAGCTATGTCTTTGTTTTCACTTAACGTCTCGTACGTCTCTAACCAAGGTCGTTTGACGATGTAACGGCCATTTTCATCTCTCTGAACGGTTTTTCGAAAATGCTGAAGAATGGACTGTTCCGTTTCTTCCTTAGTTCTTGTTTCAGTAGGATCCTTTATACCTATAGTATCTAATTTCCACAAATCAGCCACAGAAGAATTTTTAATCAGTAAAGATGTCACTAAGTGGAATGAAGTTTCGTCAAACCTTTCTTCGGACATGTTTCCCATGATAACCCATCCTAAATAAGTTTCACATGCAATCAAATTGGATTTCAATGTACATATTCTTCCTGTAAATATATTACCACAATAATCTGCACCTATTAATAGATCAATATCAGGACAACCTTCTCCATAGTCAGTGAGCCAAATTTGATTTTCTTAACTTTTCCTTATAAAGGTCTCTTCTCAACCGAGGAATGTTGCCACAAATGATCTGCTGATCCAGAACCTTTCTGTTACAGGAGAAGTCCCCTTTCAAAGATATCAGGTTAACGTCATAAACATAATGCTCCCTTTTTTCAATTGTAATTCCCCCAAATTGAGAGTGAATTAAGATTCTCTTTTCTGTAGGCTTCGAACCTAGTTTCTTAGCTGTTTCTTTAAGAATGTAAGAATGTTGTGAGCCAGTGTCAATAAGAACACGTACTTGTAGCTCTTTCCCTTTAGTCTTCAGTTTCACTTGTAACGTTTGAAGCAATATTTCATCAAAAGTGCATAAGTTAGACAAACTAACATCAGACGACAACGTCTTCTCAATTTCCTGTACGTTACCTTTCATCTTATTTCCAGGGAGTTCTGGGTACATCAAAATCGAATGATTTTTACTGTAAAGGACACATTTGATGTTGGACTTGCAAAATTTAGAACGATGTCCAATTTTTAAACAGACAAAACAGGCCTTTTTGTTTTTTAAAATTTCTTGTTTTTCTTGAAACTTGAGTTTACGTACAGAAAAGCAATCTTTACTTTCGTGCAATTTATCACAAAATATAAAAACATTTTTTCTTTTATTCTCTGTTGTTTCCGCAAACAAATCTGCTGCCGTCGGTGGATTACTAGGAACAAAACGCTGTATTTTTTCCTTCTGAAATTTGTGTTCCTTACTAACAAATCCCTTTGCTAAACGAATACGTTCTTCCCTTCAACTTCAGCTTTCAGGAACAATAATAAATTTTTTAATTTCTCTCCATACGCATTTTCTTCAGAAGAATCGAATCTGGTGTTAACTATAGGGTTTCTTAACCAAACTCTAAAAATATCTTTCGGAATACACGATTCTGCAAGAGGGAAAAGTATAGCTGAATATGTATCGGATATTAAGCCTATGGACTCCAAGGCTCTTAGATGTGATTCTAATTTATCATATAATTTCGACGTGTCTAGCTTTCTTTTTTCTTCGGTAACATTTTTTACAACAAGATTTAACAGTTCGCGTATATAAAATTCAATTAGTAATTCCTCCCTGCCCAATCTTGATTTTAAACATGCAATAGCTTTATCATAATTTTCATATGTCGGTGGGTAACTATCGACAATATCGCGAGCTCTAGAGCCTTCAGTCATACATTGAATTAAATATTGAAATTTATCTTCTTTCGCAATACTTTCATCGTCATGTATTCTTTTGAATTCGCTGCAAAAGGCAAGCCAATCTTTGATTTCCCCGTCAAATTTCAAAAGTTTGGTCTCTGGTAACTTTAACTTTCGTTTTTGAACGGGCGAAGAATCAACAGAACTTTCGGTTTTAGAAATTCTATTTAAATACATTTCTAAGTTTACTTCCTCTTTTACGAAATTTTCATTATATTCTGCTATTATCGCGTACTCGTTCTGATACTTTTTATCGTCTGTATCTTCTAATAATAAAGAGCTTAATTCCTGATCTATTTCAGTTAGCTGACAATAAATTCTACGTAAATTAGCAAAGTTAGATCTAATGTTCTCTTCTTTAGCATTATCTGCCTTTAATAAATCATTCAAACCATTAAAACATTTTGCGAAGTTAGCTCTTATAGGAGAGCGTTTTTTAACAAGTAATTCCATTTTCAGAATAATAGGTAATTCGAAATAACGTACCTTTAATATCACGTCATACGTAATAAGTACAAGACCATCATACAAGTCATACCAGGTTGAAACCTGACGATATGTAAAAGGTAGCATGCCTTCTATAAATATGTGAATAACTCACTCTTTCATATATATATTCAAATTACTAATCAAATTTGTTTTCTCTAATATAACTAATCAATGTAAGTTGGAAAAGCCAACATCAAATTGTAATTATAAATGTAATTTGTTTTGTAATTAATTAATAACGAATGACCTGTAGTACCCAATGAGAGGCGAGGCAGGCTAAGGATAATAATTATTATTATTATCACGTTATACGGTCACCATGTTACGAGACTCTACCTGAATTTTGTTCATTCAGTCGGTACTCCACTAAAAGAAACATAAAGAGAAATTATAATTGAGTAATACGGGCAATCCACCCAATTAATTCACTGTAAAACAGGCAATCCACCTTAATTAATTCACTATAAAACAGGCAATCCACCTTAATGCAAAGACATGGTGCATTTTACTTTATTTATTCTAAAACATAAAAACGATACAATATTGCCAAACCGTAAAAATTTAACCTTTAAAGACATTACATTTATACAATCGTTGAGTTGCTCACGACAGGAAGAAAAATAGCTAGGTGTTTATTTGCATTAATAAAAAAAATTCCACCTAACGATAAAAAGATTAAAAATATTTTATTTTCTTTAAATGTATATATAATTTTTACTATGAGTTATCCTTTTTATTATATCATATTCTATGGATAGAGTATTTAATTTTGATAGTTCGAATAATAATCGTGAATAATTTCGAATTCGTTTTGAAGTAGAAAAAGATCCTTCTTCAGTAAATGGTCTGAGCAATATTCAAATATTATCATAGAACTAATTGTTTTTACTTTCTTGTACGAAGTAAAAAGGAAGTATTGTAATCGCGAAAAGTTTTAGGCAGCATATTTCAATGAAAATATCCATTTTGACCTCTTTCGAATGCAATTTAATGATGTATTACCGTGATATCTGTACGTAAGGACAAAATAAAACACTCTTTTCTTCCAAAAAATCTATAAAACTGCTTTAAAATGAATTCTGAAGAGAATTTTTCGTGGCGTCTGTACGAACGTATGTACGTACGTACGTTCGTATCTCGCATAACTCAAAAACGAGTAACCTCGGAACGTTGAAATTTTGTATATAGGACTGGTATAACATGTAGATGTGCACCTCGTATTTTGGTTGCAATCGGCCGCACCAAACGTATATAAATATATATATCCACTCTGTTATCCGGCTCAGTGATCTCAGTTTCTTTACTCTTATATGTTTGTAAACTGAACATTGTTTGCTTTAAAAATGATTGAATTATGTTGTTCTTATCTTCCGGTTAAGGTTTTTATGCCTTTTTTAAATCTGTATGCAATACTTTTAGAATTATCAACAATTTTAAAATTTTTTAAGTGCCGCTAAGCCTAGTAATTTTTTTGATGGCGGCCATTGCTCTTTGTTTACATTTGAAACAGCAGGATAACGGATTTGTTGCCAATCTAGTGAAACTTAGCTTCGCAATCTTGTTTTGTTTCAGTCGGGTCGTCATCTTAAAGTGTCATTGACATTGCCATATACAGATTGCAATTAATTATTTGGATGTCGATTTGTTAGTTATGGCAAAAATGTCAGATACATAATATTTCAATATATTATTATATTAACTGCTATAAGTAGTATTAATTTTCTACACATTTTCAGTTTTTGAATACTTAAGTTTCCTTCTTACTTTTTCAGAAAAAATTTATTAATTCATTTCGAAATACGAAATATAAAAATTAAAATATTCCTCAATCTAATCATTACGCGAATCACATTTATAACTTTAAAGCCTGAAAAACGCATGTCTGCAGTGTTATTTCCGTCGATGATTTATTAAGTACTTTATCCTTTACCACGACATTTTCGACGAAGATGTTTTCTACCACGATGTTTTAAAGCTGCAATGTTAAATATTGTTTTTTTTTTTTTTTTTTTTTTTTTTTTTTCCATCACGATGTTTTGTTATTCTCCGTTGCTTTCTCCGCGAAGTTTTTGACGGACACCGGACAATTTATGGCAGGTATTGGAAAACTCTACTCTTCTTACCACGAAACTTTTAAGGGATTGCGCCAGGCAAACATCACCATCCTTTGAAAAGATAATTGCATAACGTGCATCTTAAGCAGTAATTTAAATCTTTTCCATTAACATTTGTGTCATTTTTTTATTTTAATCGGCGGCCGGTTGGAAACTATATAAGGCCGGTGAGAGAGCATCTGCTCTCAGTAAAAGACTGGCTGAACGCGCCTACCGTTAGGAAGCAGATTAACTGTGCCTCACCTTTAGAAATCAGAGACTTAATCAAGAAGCTAAAAACACGGAAGGCACCCGGGCATGACGCTATAAGCAACTTTGCTATCAAGAAAATGCCTATGAATGTAGTTACGAGGTTTACTAGCATCATAAATGCATCTCTCAGTATTAGCTACTTTTCCATGCCTGAAAGCAAGCAAAAATTATATTGTTACGAAAACCTAGAAAAGATGCCATCAAGCCTGAGGGCTACAGGCCTGTAAGTCTACTCTCGGGTCTGGGGAAAATTTATGAACGAATCATTCTGAGCAGGCTCAGGCCCTTCCTTGACGTGCTACCGCCCGAATAATTCGGATTCCGGAGTAACTTATCCACCACCAAACAACTTATTCGCCTTGTGGAGTTTTGTGGAAACTCTTTTCACCATAGGCAGAATATTGCCGCTGGTGGCGAAAGCCTTTGACCGCGTCTGGCATGAGGAGCTTATTTATAAGCTGATAAACTTTAATATTGATAGAGAGATTATCAAACGTATTGACTCTTTCATTAACAATCCAAGTTTCGTGGTCTCCATTGGAAAGGATACTACTAATACACGAACGATTAATGCTGTGGGTCCCCCAGGGGTCCATTTTAGGACCCATTTGTATCTTCTATATGTTGCTGATTTCCCGCGGATACACCTGGACCGAAATAACTTCTTAGGCTGTTACGCAGACGACATAGCTCTAGCTGTGAGGTCTGCTAACGCCAACCACGCAGTAAAGAAACTACAAGACATTATGCCAGAAATTGAAAGTTGGTGTACCAAGTGGA